CGTAGTTTTTCTTCGGACATATTAAAACTTATACTACGCATGCCCACGTGATTATTTTTCCCGTCCCTTTCCCGTTCCTGTGAAAAAACGGATGAGTGGAAACTCGCCTTTAGAGAACACTGGTAAAGAGGGATATTGGACGGTAGTTAGACATATTATTACAATCTCCATTTTTATAAACAGGATTGACTTTAGCAATTTTTAACATATCAAGAAAAATACTGTGTTCAAAAGAAGACGATATTAGATGAAATAAGGGTTTTCTAATACATTCAATGACGTGTATTGCTGCATTACTAGTAATGTCATATCCGCATGACTTATTTCGCTTTAGTTCAATCAAAGCTTTGTTAAATTCTTTATAGGATATTTTTTCATTTGATATACAGGGTAGGGTTTTTTTTTCCAATAAATTCATCAAACTTCTTATTTGGCATCACTATTTTTGAAGCTAGACTGGGACCAAGATTTAAAAAGTGTTTGTTAAATTCATGGTAAATATCTGATTTATTTGTAATGTATTTATTATCACAAAATATTTTTTGAGTTATGCTAAAGGATTTCTTTTTTTCTCTGCCAGTTACTTCATTTATAATCGACCATGTTTTTTTTAATGTCTAATTTATTTTTATTTAGCTGATTAGAATAATACATTATTTTAGCTTGTCTAATATTTTTTTGAAAAAACTGTTTATAGGCTTTGTATTTTTTTTCATCACTTTTATCCTTAGATTTCAAAAATTTTATATAAAGTTTTTGCTTTCGTTTAGACGATTTTATAAGATTACTCGTCATCCATGGATTTTTTAACTCTTTATTTTTTACTTCAGATGTTACCATGGGACAGACAGTATCAAAAATACAATTAAAAAGTTGCCGTAAAGTTATTAAATGCCTGATTTTGATCCTTAGCTGAGTATATATTTTTCCAGGACTCCTCAAATAGTTTATTTTTTAAATTATCGAGATTTTTTTTTAGTAAGGTTTCTTTTAGTGACAAGACATTTTTTATTATCATTATTAGATAGAATACCACGTGCAATGTGAAAAATGGGGAAATGATCAGAAAAAATCAGCAATTAAACAGACCAGATTCAAAATCAGAATTATAAGAGTTGTTTGTTAAAATATTGTCAATGGCAGAAGAAGTTTTTTGCGTAATTCTTGTTGGTTTAAAAATAGTAGGAATTATATTAAATTCAAGTAATGAATCAAAAAAAGACTTAATGTTGGAAAACTTTTCATAATGTAAAGCATCTATATTTAAATCACCTGCAAAAAATATATACTTATCGTGTTTACACATTCGTGATGTTATGATCTTCAAGCTATTAATAAAATTATTTTGATTTCCACAAGGCGGTCGATATAATGAGGAAATAAGTAATGATTTGTTAGTTTTATTCAAAACTTCTATGCATAAGGTTTCAATAAGTTTGTTTGTTTTGCTATATGCTTTTTTTTTTTTTTTAATTCAAATTTTTCACGAATATAGGTAGCAACTCCGCCTCCGATGCCGCTCACTCGTGGTTGGCTAATCAATTTAACAAGTGATAAATTATAAAGAGAATTATCTAACAAAGGCATATTCGCTTCCTCCCAAGTTTCTGAAATACAAATTACATCAAACTGATAATTTAAAGAGTAATAGAAATTTTTAAACGATTCAAAATTTTTACTCATAGAGCGCGTTTACACTTAAAATGCTGAAATTTTCTTCGACTTTATCTTTAGTAAATTTATCATGTTTATAGTATTCATTGCTTAGGCATTTAGCATTTAAACTGTTTATAAAATTGTATTCATGAGATTTTAATTTTTTTAAAATAGGAGATTTAAAGTTTTCAAAGTTTTTTTTTTGGATTGTTAAAATTATCGATTTTAGTCATATTGCTTTTTATCATTAAAAAAAAAAGTTAAATCAAGAAATTCAAAAACAAATTCAAAAAAGCTTACTTAAGTTGTTTTGTCACCAGCTATTTATATATACATATATATATATATATATATATATATATATATATATATATATATATATATATATATATATATATATATATATATATATATATATATATATATATATATATATATATATATATATATATATATATATATATATATATATATATATATATATATATATATATATATATATATATATATATATATATATATATATATATATATATATATATATATATATATATATATATATATATATATATATATATATATATATATATATATATATATATATATATATATATATATATATATATATATATATATATGAAAAAACGTTTTTATATATATAAGACTCAAGGCTAGATTTGATTTAACTCAGTGTTTGCAAAGTTTCAAATTATGCAAGACTTGGATTTGATGTAACACCATGTGCAAAGGTGCATACTTGAATGAGTTTGAAAACCACAAATTATATTTGTAACTATCATTTCATAAACCAAAATTGCAAAAAACTCCGCTTGTGTTATTCAATGACCAGATTCGATTATCATAGGAGTGATTTTTTAGTAAATCTTCTAATACCGCAACTAGAATTCGTTTCTTGACACTAGTGTCTTTACCAGACTTTTGAGTGAGTCGTTGTTGTAGTGGTAAACTAGTTTTATCTCATTAACAATGCTTAGACTAAACTCTATAAAACCTTTGCTTTCATTTATTCCTCGCTTAAAAAAATGGCTTCCAAAATTTTTGCGAGATTGAATAAGATGATTTGTTAGACTTTATAAATCTTTGCAGTGAGCAACAATACAAACTGTTCCATCGGTAATTTTTAAGTCCCTGCTTAAAAATTACCGATTCTAAAAAATTAAATATTTTATCTTAATTATAAATGATGATATTTTTACTTATCTTATTTTGCTTTGCTGGACGAAAATATGCTTATCGTTTATATTATCATCGGTATTATATTATTTTAAATAAATATCATTTTCTAAAGTATCAATCTTATTCTGTTTCTGATAACATAAAAACATCTTTAAATATTATTTATTTTTGTTTACTGGCTCTGAAGCGTAACGTATCGCTAACTATAAATATAAATATATTAACAAGAAATATTCGATTTTAGATCTATAAAAAATTCTATTTTCTCATTCTATTCCATTTTTATTCGATTACAGCACGTGACACGGGTCAAATTATTAGTAAAACAATTATAAAATCTGAGAAATGAAAATGAATTCGAATTCAAATTTAAGTTTTTTTAATCATAACCTAAGTAACTTAGTTTATAAAGTTACAATTTAAATATTAAATATAGTGCAATTATTTAAGCATTTAGTGCAGCTATCGCTTATAACTACAATCTGTTATAAAAACAATAACAATGTAAGTGAATATTAGAAACTGTTATAAATAAAAAAAATTTAACTTTTTATTTATTTAATTACACGTCAATTTAAAAAGTTAACTAAAAATGTTCTGCTTCTTTTATGACTTTCTTGACCTAAAGTTATTACCATAAAAAAATAATTAAAATCAAAACTTAAAATTCATGCAAATACCTAACTATAATTTTTTTTCCTTTCTCCAAACATAAGTCCAAAATCATGTCGGAAAACCAACGAGAGACAGAGATACAGGAAGAACACAGGAATCTGGTGCATTGAAAAAGAAAAAGAAAGACTGAAACAAAGTCAACCAATCCAAGCTATGAGTTCCAGTATGATAACATTTCTTAAGAAACCCCTTTTAACTGTTACTGGTCCAGAGTCCTCTGATGTAATATCTTGACCAAGTTTTTTTGGTTTCTGAAACAGAACCAGCTTCAGAGTCGAATGTATCACCTGTCACGATAAGGAAGGAGACGTGAATTTCCTGGTTAAATGCACCTCTGCGGTGCTCTGTGACAAGACCGTTAGGTCTTCTTTGGACCAAAAAAATAACGGAAAAAAAAAAGCTGTGACCCAAGAGCTTGAACGCAATAAAAATTTAAAAAGATTGATTGATATAATAAACTTTTAAGCCTTACACAATCTGACATTTAGAGGTCATCGCGAATCACTTAACCTAGACAATAGCAGAAACTGGTAACTTTATAGAGTTATAAAGTTACCAGTTTCTATTAAAATATAGTGCTCAATAAAAATTCAAGCCCAGAGATTCGGCCAAATCAAAGTTTGTTTTTATTAGTTGTTGTTTTTTTTTATATAAAGGGGTCTCTCAAAGCTAATTTCGCCAACGCCCACGTTGGCGAAATTAGCCCCTTAATTTTTTTATATTGACTATAGTCAATATAAAAAAATGTTTGGTTTTCTTCCAGTTTTTTAGTTTAAAGAGAATTTTTTATTTTCTATGTAGGTGTTCCTTAAAAACCTTTTAAACCTTTTATTAGCATTTTTATCCTTTTGGGCAATAGTTTACCTTAACAAATTTTTTTGTTCTTTAAACTATTGGGTCCATAGTTATTTTTAGTTCGCCTTTCGAGTACGGCTTTTAAAGTTAGAGTTTTTTTATGTTTCGTTATTCTGCTATAGTAAATTTAAATTTCGAGATTTGAATGCTTTATATATTCTTTTATTTAAGCTCATTTTGTTTTAAAAAAATGCCCGTATAAAAAAAACATTAGGCTACTTTACAAGAAAAGTACAAATCGTTTAAAGAACAGAAATGAGCAGACCAAATAAATGTAAACCAATATCGCATTCTTGGTAAAAAATGATAAGATACTTAAGGGTAGATCTGTAAAGTGAGCAATTAAATTTAACAAAATTTTAAAAGATAAGATCACTTAATTATCATATTTCTACAATTAATGAAAAAAGCAACTATTTTTTAATTAATAATTGAGGTAGAAAAAATAAAGTACAGAACTATTCATAAAAATGTTTTAAAAAGTTTATATGAAAAAGTTTATGAAAATATATTTTCTTGTTGTCTTTTTTAACACTATTCATAATTTTTTTTTTCGAACGACGACATTTCGAATAAACAACGGCATCTTTTTTATATAAAAGATATAAAATTTACCATTTTATAGCTCAAACAATTAATTCAATAGAATATAAATATACAAGTAAAACAAAATGCTATAATATAAATTTATAAGAACTCAGATTCTTGCTTCTAGAGCATCCATCTTAAAATCAACACCGATTTCAAAATCATTTATTTTAGTCCAGGGTGTTCTTGAACCTCTTAAACAAAGGATAGTTGAGCGAAGTATCTCAAAAGATAACTTCGTTCTTAACCACGTCATAACAATTGAGTACTTTTCATTTTGTTTTTCCGCTAGTTTCTCCGCTAGCCTTCTAACAAACCGATGACATTCTTTACCCAAACCTCCATTTGTACCAAACACTAGTGGTGTCAAACTGCCATGTTCGACTTCACGAACTCGTTTGTCATACTCTTTTTTTTTTTTTTTTCCTTTTCGTGTTTTCTGTAAAACAAGCGATATTATAGAGATCAAAAATAATAACTAAATTCGTAAAGATTAAGTAAAAACCATTTTGTTTTCTTTCCAGCTTCGAATTTTTAATAGCATGCTATTAAAAATCGCCATTAAAAAAATATTAAGAACATATTTACATATGTATTATAATACATATTTACATATGCACTAATATTGACACAAGGCCGGATCCATAGAGGGGGCGATGGGGGTGATCGCCCCCCTTAGAAAGTTTTGAATTTTTTTATTTTTGTAAGTTTATATGTTAAACACAGCAAGTTGTTTGAAAACGGAAATAATATAGTTAGGCTGTGTAAATAAAATTACAACTTTAATAAAATTCAAAATTGTGTGATTGCATTGCATTCAAATTATTAAATCTGGAAATCGTCTCCCCTTCCTTATATTTTTTATAATTTGGTCTTATAAACCAAAACTCCTATATTTCAAAAATCACATAATTTGAACATTTTTTGAGACTCCTTTTATTCTTAACTTTTCACAACAATCATTTTTTTAAATTTCTTATATGTTATGAATTTTTGATATGCCAAAAACGTACAAATATGTATAGAGGTTAGGGGTGGTGGTAAAAGACAGTGAGTAACTACTCAGTTTGACTCTATTCTGTTCTCTATTTCTCCTAAAGCTTGTTTTCTTTTTTTAACAAAAGTATAGATTTTTACGAATTTAAAAAACCAATATTATGTTACGTAAAAGAGAAATGTCAAAATTGTTTTGTTTGTTTTTAATGTTAAAAAAATTTATGCGTTAGAAAGAATTAGGTTTGAATTTATGTACACAGATCTGTTGAAAGCATACAGATGCGTTCAAAAAGGGAGGAGGGGTCATGGATGCTCCCAAACTCTTTACTAGATGTTTAGGTAAATAGTTAACGTCGAATAGTAAAAATACTGTATTTGTTTTTAATAAAAATAAATATTATTAGAATTAAAGTGACATAAAATATTTTAATTATAGTTTTATTATAGTTTAATTAATATAATTTATCGTAATACAATTTTTTATATTTATAATTTAATATAATACAAATAAATATAATCTTTGATCTTAGAGTAAATATAAGAAAATATATACACAATGTGTAAAAAAGTTAGCGTTGTTTTTTTCCCGTATATTATAAAGGAATATGTTTAATATATACATATCAAATACGTGTTAGTATATATGTATGTGTATATATAAAAAGTTGTTCGTGTTATTATTATTTTACATGGAATTAATCAAAAATATGCGATTGATTATTTCGTACTGACAGGGGAGAAATTTTTCTGTGAGGTAGTCTTCCGTTTGAATAAATTGAACCTAAAGCTGTTATGGTTGGTACTCCTGCTATTTTCTTTTCTTCGCAACATTTTATATCATCTACTTCGTCAGAGATTTTTTTCTGTTCAACAATACAAATCACCTCATTTTGATTTGTTTGAATATCTTTTTTAGACTCATAAACTCCATCAAAAATACTTGACTTCATCCTTTCTTCCTGACATTTGTTAACCGTTATTACTTGAGAATTATCAATTAACTCTTCTCTATAGATATTAATATTGGTTTTGCCACCAGGTGGGTTAATAACCCTAAAATATAGTTTAAGATTCTAAGAGTTTTCGGGTTTTTTAATTTAAATAAAAGTTTTTTAAATAAATAATTTTTTTTCCATAAAGAAAATTTTTTTTAAGAAACCCAATGCATAGAATTAACCAATTACCTTACACAAATTTAAATTTTAGAAATCTTCACTTAACTTATTTTTAACTACTTTAATTAATATTAACACCTTATAGCCTTTTTCTTTTTTTCCACTGATTGCATTTTCATTAATTATAAAAATGTCATTTTTTTTTTGAAAGTGTGCCTAATTTATGCTGAAAATAAATGATATGCTCAAATATGTAATTAATGAACGATACGCATGATTTGTAACGCTGGTAACACTGTAGTTAATTAATTACTTTTTTTTTGAATTTATGTCAAGATTGCTAAAATTTACTTATCAAATCTATTTATTATCATGTAAAATTATTGCAAAAATGATTACCTACCTCATTTTTAATATTTGTCGCACTCAAGCTCCTTCTCAAAACGCAAATATAAGCAAAATGCTCAGCAGAGCAAATCGAATGGTAACTTAAACACGAAACAAACAGAAGGTGCGAATATAATATAAATAGTTATTGATTTTTTGAAATATTTTTATTTATTGGCTAATACAGAAAGCGTTTTGTGATTAATGATTGTTTTATATCAAGAGCGTTAAGCACTTTGTTCGCTAATGTTTTTATATAGACGCGCTTAATACTAACAGCATCGCAGCTCTGGGTTAGCTTTATTACACTGTCAGAGTGGCGTGTAAACCGTGTTTAAATTTCATACTCACTGTTTTCTCAGTCATTAACCTTGTTCTCACTTATTCTAGATAAATTTTTTTCTTTGCCTCCATTGTTTAAATAAACTCAAGTTTTGTTTAAACTAAGAGTTTTTAAAAATTAAGTAAATTAGTTTGTTGAGAAGTGTACTCAGTATATTAATGATTCTCGTGGATGACCCCTTCATGGATGACCCCTTTGTATATTAAATAACTTTTAAAACAAAACATAAAATAATCTACTATGATTCCATAGATGAGCGAGGTCGTTGAAGAAGTTGAAATAAACAAGGCAGTTGTTGTCCATTCCATGATGAAAGCACTTGCAATGACCGTAGCTTTGTAGAATGTTAAGTGAAGCAATATACCAGCTAACTAAGGTGATATTATTCTCAATTTTGTATTTTTAGATGAAGTTGCTATCGAGTAAAGTGGCGAGGCCTAGTTTGATGTATTTCGTTGTCAAACCGCTTCATTTTGTGCGGTACCGTCAAACCGCTTCATGTGCGGTACCTTAGCAGTTCGTTGCTATATGCATTCTATGGTATTTATGTTTTTTTTTTAAATACGGGTACCGGGTGGTAACTATAAACTGGAGATGTGGGCGTATATAGTGCAAATGTTTTACTGATAAAGGTGTGTTTTAAGATTCAAAAGACATTATTGTCCATGGCAGTGGCAATTTTTGATTTATTCTCGTGCTTTAGGAGATTTGAATCATTGGAGATTTGAATATCTAGGTTTTTTTCGGACGTTGTTAACTCGAATTCATGTATGGTGACTTTTACTAGCGTTGTACCCATTCATTGTGTAAACATGTGTCAAAACGTTGTATTTGTTAACGCGCATAATCTTGCATTTCTCGACATTGAATTCCATCAACCAGGTTCAATTCCAGGTGACGATGTTATCCATATCGGCTGGCAGGCAAACTTTATTTTCAGCGGATTTCACTGCGCTTAGTGTTGTCTGCCTAGATTTTACAGATACTTTCATTACTGACGTATTCAGTTTAGTTGTTGATGAAGATTATAAACAGCGTAGCACTTAGTAATTAATATTTTAGAACTCCACTCGTAACTTGTTCCCAGTTGGATGAAGTATTACTGAAAAGAACGCGTTGTGATCAATTTTAAAGCAAAGGACTTATCCAGTTACCCAGTGGGCACGGACGTAAAAAAGACGTCTTTTAAACGTCTTATACTCGTTTTGGACGTCTTTTAAACGTCTTTTGAACGTTTTGGACGTCTTTCGAACGTTCAAAAGACGTCTTTTTTAGGTCCATTGCCCACTGGGTAAGAATCTTACCTTCAATTCCGTAGAATTCAAGTTTTGGCTAAAGTCTTCTGCGAGGGACTTAGTCATATACAATAATATCTCAGACATTTTAAAAATCTTTAAGATATCACTACATATAACTAAACCCCTTTATGCGTATGTACTAAGTACATACGCACTCTGAAATTTAACGCAACAATATGAACCTTGGATTGTGCAAATAATCTATAAATAATAATGATGTAGTTTGATAAGATTTTTACTTTCAACATCTCTGCTCAAATGTCATATATAAATTTGTATGTAAAAGCTGTTATGTCTGTTATGTGGGTCAAACCACTTCTACTTGCCCCGCCAATTTTTCATTTATTTATTTTTAAATTGTAAATGTTATTAAACGGCAAAATAAACAAACAAACAAACAAAAACAAAAACAGTATCTTGGTAATCTTCTCAAACCATGCATAAACGTCGAATTGTCACCAGAAGATTTGTTCACATTCATTCAGGATCTAATTAAGGTAAGCACATTAAATAAATATATGGTGTCGTTAAATGTTGAAAATTTATTTACAAATATACCATTGCAAGAAACTTTAGAATTAGTTGTAAAAATTATTATTGATAACACTCCTAACTTCAAAATTAGTATAAAAGAACTCTAGGAATTATTTTTATTTGCTACTTTAAAAAACCATTTTTTATTTAATAACAAATATTATGATCAATGCGACAGTATAACTATGGGGTCCCTTCTTGCTCCTATACTAACTAATCTATTTATAAATCATATGGAAAAACTAAGTTTATTAATCTACACAGGTAACAAACCCTTGTTTTATTGCCGGTATGTTGATGATATTTTTCTTTTATTTGAAAACAATACCGATTCTTTTAAGATTTTTAATTATATGAATCATCAACACAAAAATATTAAATTTAACATGGAAAAAGAAGCAAATCAACAATTAGATTTTTTAAGACATTCTTATTGACAACAAATATAATTTAACTACCAGCATATTTCTAAAAAAGACTTTCTCAGGTCAGTTAACAAATAATTTAAGTTTTACCGATATTTCATACAAAAATGGCATGATTATAACTTAATTAGAATTTATAAAACTAACAATAAATGGTCTAATTTACATTCTGATTTAGTTAAACATAAACATATTCTCCAAAAAAAACTCGATTAAACTTTTTAAAAACTAAACTCGATTAAACTAATTGATTGCATTTTAAAAACAGACAATATAAAAAAGAAAATAAAGAAGTTATCTATTACTCAAAAATAAATTATTTTAAAAAACCTTTATTCAATATTGGTAATTTTATTTTTATTTAAATTTAACTAAATTTTATTTTATTTTTATAACTTCTTTTTATTGGTAAAATGTCAAAACAATTTCAAAACAAAAAAAATGACTTATACAAAAAACATCGTGAAACTCTTAATCTCATATCGGCATTCTCATCCTTTAAAAATTAATACATATTTAAAAAAAAAAAATTAAACTCCTCAACATTTCAAATGTCATATATAAATTTGTGTGTAAAAGCTGTAATGCTTGTTGTGTGGGTCAAACCACTCGACATTTGAATAAAAGAATTGAGGAACATTTAAAATTACAAAAAACTTCTCATATAAATCAACATATTCAAAAACTAGTTGCTTTAAGACTTTTTTTCTAAGTATTAGACTACGCCCAAACTTCGCATCAATTAAAAATTAAAGAAGCATTACACATTATGTGAACTTAATAAACAGGTTTTTAATTACACGCTATTACTCCAGCTGTAATCGACATTTTCTATTACTCTATGACGTATTACAATAAGGGGTCGTCCAAAAAGTACGTACGCTTTTTTTCGTCCTCCCGCCCCCAACATTTTTCAATACGCTTTTTTGAGTACCGTCCACATCCCTAAAAGGGAGATGGATTATCTACAACTCTATGACGTAGGTTTTCACATCTTTCGTGTTTTCTTTTGATTGTTAAATACAGAAACTATAAATTTAACAGTTGTATTTAACAGTTTTATACTTGAAAATTGTTATAGTATAATCGAAACATGTTGTTGAAACTGAAAAAAATAATGTAACAATAACAATGCTTTAGGTTTTAAAAAAGTTAAGTTATCTTTATTATACGAAAAAATATTTTTATCAAAAGTTATCTTGATTTTAAAAGTGGTTTCTAGAGAAGTTTGTAAGTATATATATATATATATATATATATATATATATATATATATATATATATATATATATATATATATATATATATATATATATATATATATATATATATATATATATATATATATATATATATATATATATATATATATATATAAATTGTGTTAGTCTATTCTACAAATAGAGTACCGAATGTTCTTAGAGAACAGAGCAATAGTAAATTAGTAAAAATACTTATCTAATTTTTTTCAACAAGTTGTTTTGCCCTTAGTAGGTTCTTCAGGAGGATTTCGATGAGCCTACCGATGACGATATATATAATTTTAAGGAGTAAACAAATTCTGTATGTTAACCAACCCCACACCCCGCTTCATCTACTCATCTATTAGGCTGGAGTAGATGTATTTATAATATACTGTTTCAAGTTTAGGATGTTTAATGCAAAATCTTCTTGACTCAATGCATGGGCTTCGCTTGTGTCTCTGTTTTTATGACTAGACAACTCATTCTATTATATCCTAATGAGAGTACAGTACTAAAATTCAGTTTTATGGTTCTGAGCCCGACTGGAAATTAGGTTTCCCAAACTCTGTGGTGACTCTCAGAGAGGCTAATTCCATCAACAGCTGTAAAACATCAGAGTACTAAAAATGCTATGTTGCGCAAGGATAGTGTCCCTGTTTGTTCTTTTGGTGTGCATTGTCGAGGCTACATTTGGAGCCCTTTGTTACGGCTTAGAGTTTATTATTAGTAATGAGGCAATTGCTTGGACTATTAAATAGAGTACTGAGTACTATTTGTGCTTTGAATCAAGTTGTTTAACAAATTTAAAATTGACTAAAATACAAATAATTATAAAACACAAAAAACCATCGTCGTCACCAAGTTCTCTAAACTTATCATTTACTAATATTCGTGGTCTTCAAAGTAACTTTTCTTCTATTGAGTTTTATCTCTTGCAAATTTCACCATACCTACTTGCTCTTTGTGTGACTAATATGAAATTGGTTATCTCATCTTGTGATCTTAGTGTTGATGGTTATCTTCCTTTAATTCGTAAAGAATCCAATAGTCACATGCTTGGCCTGGGCATTTACATTCATAAGAATTCATCCATTTGTCGGGAGACTAGGTTTGAATCCACCAACTATTCTTTTGTGTTCTTTCGTTTGGCACCATTTCACTCTGTTGCCTTTTTCTTTGTTCTATATCGCTTAGCACCATTTCACTCTGTTCTCTTTCTCTTTGGTCTACATCACGGTTTGATCTCTCTAAAACTATTACTTCATTCTTCTTCATCATCAAAACCCTCCTATCGTCGTATCTCTTACAACTATCTTAATGCTGACAGAGAATCTTTCCGTTATTTACTTTGTGATGGCCCTTGAGGTCTTTTGTCTTCCTACTGACAAATGTATTTCTTACATAGCTTCTTGGATTTAGACTAGCATGGAATCTTTAATTCCCTTCTCGATAATTCCAAGTCAAGCCTCACTCTTCTCCATTGTTTTTTTAACATTGTGCTACTGCAATTTCCAATCAAAACCATTACTTTCATATCTATCAGCAAAACAATTCTCTAGAAAACAGACGTCTGTTTACTATTGCTTGAAACCATTGTAAAAAAGTTTTGTCAAACGCCAAAGCCCGCTATCCTCAGGCCATGAAATCTCATATTTCTCAAAAATTAGGCTCTCGTGACTTCTGGAGAATCTTTAACAGTCTCAATAATAAGGGCAAATCTGTTATTCTACTTATCTTGTATGGTTCAGAATTTGTCACCTCGACTAAAAACAAAGCTGAGTTGTTTGCTGAGAACTTTTCATCAACGTCATCTCTTGATCCACTAGTTGCGTTCTACCTGATTTAGCCGTCAAACAGGTCAATCCATTACTTGACATTCGTATCACTCCAGCTTCTGTATCTAAAGTGATTCCCTCCTTAAACTCTTCTACAGCTAGAGGTTCGGACAACATATTTATTATAGTTTTAAAGAAATGTTCTTCGGAGCTGTCTTTTATACTTTCAAAACTATTTAACAAGTGCTTATCAGAGTCTTGTTATCCAGCCTGTTGGAAAGCGGTATCTGTTATCCCTATTTTCAAAAATTCTGGACAGAGATCTGACTCGTCTAACTACCGTCCCATTATTCTTCTTCCTATCATAAGCAAGGTTTTTGAATATCTTATTAACAAACACTTAATCTCTCATCTTGAATCTTGAATAATAACTTACTTTCTGATCATCAATCTGGATTTCGATCTTCTCGTTCTACAGCTGATTTGCTAACAATAATAACCAACAGATTTTATTGTGTACTAGATAGAGGTGGAGAGGTTAAGGCTATTGCTTTTGACGTTTCTAAAGCTTTTGATGAAGTTTGGCATGCTGGTCTTTTCCATAAGTTTTTTTCTTTCAATACATCAGGTATCATTTTTAAGAAATTTTTAAGAATCCTTCTTTATTAGTTGTAGTATAAAAGTTATCCTCAATGGACAGCACTCTTCTTTATATCCTGTAACTTCAGGGATTCCTCAAGGTTTTATCCTTGGCCCTATACTCTTTTTAATTTACATTAACGATCTTCAGGTTATTCTCACTTTTAAGATGGCATTGTTTGCTAATGATGCCATTTATTCTTGTCTTGATAAAACGCCAACTCTCTCTGATTGCTTGGAGGGGTCATTTGAGCTTGAAAAAGATATCTCTTTTGCCATAGCATGGAACTCACAGTGGCTGTTGAACTTTAATTCAGATAAAACTTAACTTTTACAACCAATCATTATCTTAATTATTTAGACCTTTCTATATTTTATGAACAGTAATGTACTCTATTAGTCATCTACCCTTCATCTTCTAGGATTAACTCTTACTTCCAATCTTTTTTGAAAACCATATATCAAATCCGTTGCAAAGTTAGCATCTGCTAACTTTGCAACGGATTTGATATTTGGTTATATATACATACATATATATATATGTATATATATATATATATATATATATATATATATATATATATATATATATATATATATATATATATATATATATATATATATATATATATATATATATATATATATATATATGTATGTATATATAACCATATATATGTATATATATATATATATATATATGTATATATATGTGTATATATATATATATATATATATATATATATATATATATATATATATATATATATATACATGTATGTATATATATATATATATATATACATATATATATATATATATATATATATATATATATATATATATATATATATATATATATATATATATATATACATAAATATATATATTTATGTATATATATATAGAAATATAATATACATAGAAAAATTACAAAAATGCAGAAAAGACATTGATTCGAAAAATATTTTACCACTCTTTATATTTACGGCTGTAAAAATTCCAGAGTAAAATTTCCGCCGGTAGCATTTTACGCCGGTAAAAAGTTTTATAACATTGACCCCTGGATAAATAATCTCGTACGATTTTATAAGTCACATAGGAAAATTAAAACTGTTCCACTGGAAGAACAATCAATGAAAGATAACAGCAGGATGCCACTCAAAATTTAAATTGTTGGTTGTTCATCTGTCGCTTTGGAGAATCCATCAAACAGAGACGAGAATGCATAAAGCAAATTGAGAAAAAAGTACAAGTTTATGGCAAAAAAATTTAATTTTTCTCATCAATTTCTGATCAATTCAAGTCGTACAGGCAAAATTGGATCAAGTGCTAAAGACGTGAGATAAAAAACAAACAAAAAATACGATTTATTGAATGAAATTGTTGACATCACAAAAAAAGATGGTATTGCAATGAAGATAAAAGATTGTAATATCTTTAGATTGAAAGCAAAAGTCAGGTCGGGTATGCCACAGGAAATGACGCTAGTTCAAAAACTATCCATCCATCCAAAAGAAGGAAAATGCCCTTGATGCCTTTAGTAGATTCATCTTTTACAGATGAGGGGATTATTGGTTTACTAACCAAATGGACAATGCAGATGACTATTGGAAACTATGTTGCAGCATGCACGGTTACCAAAAATGCGTTTAACTTGGTGAAAAAAGTTTTGAAATCAGGAACCATCAAGACTGGAAATTCTCAGAACAAATCAGTGTTCAGAACAAACCAATCAAGTGTTTGACATCTGTAAAAAGAAAGAGAAACTTCAGCTTTGATTTATTTTGTATAACAAAGCATAAGAATTGTGTATTACGTTTTAATTAAGCTGAATACTACACAACATTTTTTCGATACACACAGTAGCTTTTTGTACTTGCAGAATTGTTATTTAAGTTTGTAATTTTAGATTTATTTTTAATTTAGAAAATAACTCTTTAGTTAAAAAAACTAGAACTAAAAAAATCATAAAATTTTTTGAAATTCTATTTATACACATATATGGTAAATTAAAATTTTTTTCATTTGTTGGTGTTCTTTTTCAACAAGAAATTGAATTAATGTTTTTTTCATAACTTTTGTACAAGTATTTATCAAATTATGACCCAAGGAACATGGGGTCACAAAAATTTCATAACCCTTATATATATATTTGAGGGTTATGACTATTTATTCTTTTTTAAACAATATACCAATAATCCAGCATTTTTTGGTCTTTGAGATAGCTAACTTCCGGATAGGAGCAAATTCCAAACATATTTGATAATGTATAAACATATGTTTATACTTAATCAAATAAAGGTGCTTTGCAAAAAACTGCGATGTATGGAACCTGTGAACAAAAAAAACAAACTTAAACATGTAAATGTTTAGGTTTGCTCCATGTCTAGAAGTCACCTATCTCAAAAGCCAAAAAATACTGGATCCGCCCCTGTATTCAACCCTAATATATATTACAAATTGCATGGTTCTAAATATACAATACAAAATTCTAGATATCTAGGTTGTAACTTTGGGTACAAGATGTTGACACTAATAAAGATTACAAAAAAACGATATTATTGTTATTAAAAAACGATAACCCACGAGAAAATATCATTGCTGTATACAATATAATCATTTAATGGAACATTTATAAGTATTTTGAAATAAATAGTCTTTGCCACTAGGTTTTGATGTCACTAAAGAATAAAAAATAAAAAGGAAAATGAGCAAATGACCCCTTCAAATTTATGGAATATATACTTGTTGAAAAAATATGCGCAAGTTTATTGCTGGTACAAGTTGCCACTAAAGAGTACAAAATAAAAAGGATGTAATAGATAAAAACATGTGACAACTAAAAATCTGGACAAACTTTGAAAATGAATATTTCTTGAACGGAGTTATCAATCTTTTAAATTTAAAAAGCAAATTAACAAAAAATTTGTATTTACAAAATAAAAATAAAAATTATTTGTTTATTAGTCCATTTTGCCGAACACGGTCAGCTCTTGTAAAGATACTCGCCCAACTATGATATATTGTAGAGTAATATATATGAGGAATAAAAAAGACTATGATATATCGTAGAGGAATATATATGAGGAAGAAAAAAGACTATGATATATTGTAGAGGAATATATATGAGGAATAAAAAAGACTATGATATATTGTAGAGGAATATATATGAGGAATAAAAAAGACTGATATATTATAGAGGAATATATATGAGGAATAAAAAAGACTATTATATATTGTAGAGGAATAAAATTGTAACAAAATATGTAGAATTATAAAATTATAAAACATTGTTAGACATATAAATTGAAGCTACAAAGTTTGTCCTGATTTTTAGTTGTAACATGTTATTATGATTGTTCATTTATAAATATTTTGAAAAAACTTAATAATTCTTACTATTGCTATCAGATATCAAAATTAAATACTAAAAAATAAAATAAATAATTAACAAGAAGGTTATTTTCAAATTTTGTCATATATAACAATTTTGTATAGAAATTATTGAATAATAATTTAAAAGTACCTTCTCATATTATATTATTTAAAGTGATTTTGAAGAAATATAATATAAAAAATTATAATTGGTGTAAGATGTTGTTGCCATTAAAGGTTGCCATTGGTTGCAAGATGTTGTTGCCATTAAAGAATACAAAATAAAAAAGCTCAACATGTAAAAATTTGATTAGTCGTTTAACATTATCATTGTTACTAAATGTCGATGCCACTAAAGAATACACCATGTAACAACATTTTTGTTTATGTTAATTTTTTAATGTTTCTTACATAATTTTTGTATGCTGATTTCAGTGGTACCATTGGTTTTTCTCTATCATCAAGATTTCCTGAGAAAAAGCATAAAGTATATTTCGGAGTTTTCGTATATGTGTAATGCAATTAAAACATTATATATATATGCTGATTTTAACTATATTCGTGTGTTTATTTTCAGTTTAACTAATTACAACTGTTACATGAAGTAGTGAATATGTCTAGTAGATCCTGCAAGCTTTGTCCTGACTCATTCTGTTATGTTTGTGGTTACTATATTAGTCCAACACAAGCTAAACATAAGATTGTCAGTGGTACAAAATTCTTTACTGCATATCATGCTTATTTTGGTATGGCTATGGGAGATCAGGACAAATCGTGGGCACCACACTACAGTTGTGGTAGCTGCAGATCAACTCTGGAAGGATGGCTGCGTGGAATCCGAAAGTCAATGCCCTTTGCGATTCCGAGAATATGGAGAGAACCGACGAACCATCATGATGACTGCTTTTTCTGCATTGTTGACATTTCAAAGTATAAAAAACCGAAAGATAGGCTGACTCTAGTTTATCCAAGTATACCATCTTCTATTGGACCAGTTCCACACAGTGATGAATTGCCTGTTCCTACTCCACCTCAATCCGAAGAAGCAGCTGCATATCATTCTGAAGTAGACTCACCGGATGAACTCAATGATGACTGTGATTTCAGGGAACCGAATGATTCACCTCATTTCCCTAACCAACAAGAACTTGATGACTTAGTACGAGATTTAGGTCTCACTAAATCAAATGCAGAACTTCTGACATCACGTTTGAAAGAATGGAATTTATTAGATCCAAGCTGCAGAACCTCGAAATACCGAAAAAGACATGAAACATTCGCATACTTTTATGTAGTATCAGAATCACTGTGCTATTGTCATGACGTTCGTGGTCTTTTCAATGACATTGGCATTGTTCACAATCCTGAAGAGTGGAGATTATTCATTGACAGCTCAACAAGAAGTCTAAAGGCAGTTTTGCTCCATAACGGAAACCGATTTCCTTCGATTCCAGTAGCTCATTCCGTTCATCTAAAGGAAGACTATAAGAATGTGAAGTTGTTGCTTGAGAAAATCAACTACGACAGTTACAAGTGGGATGTACGTAGAGACTTTAAGATGCTAGCATTTCTTCTCGGTCTGCAAGGAGGATACACAATTTACTCGTGTTTTCTTTGTTTATGGGATAGCAGGGCTGCAAACCAGCACTTCACAAGACGTGAGTGGCCAGTGAGAGAACATTCACAGCCTGGTTCGCACAATGTTATTAATCAATCTCTGATACCTGTTGAAAAGATCTTACTACCACCCCTTCACATTAAACTTGGTCTTATCAAACAATTTGTCAAAGCATTAAACCCAGATAGTGCAGCATTTCAGCATATTCGGCAGATGTTTCCAAAGGTGTCAGATGCAAAAATTTCATATATTCGTTGGTCCACAGATTAAAGTTGGTCCAAATTTCATATATTCGTTGGTCCAAATTCGTGTATATTCGTTGGTCCACAGATTAAAGTTATGTTGGCATGTAAGGAGCTTGAGGACAAAATGTCTGCTGTTGAAAAAGAAGCATGGACTGCATTTAGACATGTTGTTCATAGCTTTTTAGGCAACAATAAGAGTGATAACTACAAAGAGATAGTGGAAAACTTAATTGTACGGTACGCAGATATGAAATGCAGAATGTCAATAAAGCTGCATTACCTGCATTCACACTTGGAATTTTTCAGACCAAATTTGGGTGATGTGAGTGAAGAGCACGGGGAACGTTTCCATCAGGATATTCTTAAAATGGAGAAAAGATACCAGGGCAGATGGGATGCAGCTATGATGGGTGACTACATCTGGTGTTTGATACGCGATGACGAGAAACTTCATAAAAGAAAACCTCGTTCTACTGTTCACTTTTAGTGTTTTTTGAGATTGTGAGAGACTGTTACAATACAATATAATGTAACATTATGTAATATATGTAAGAAACATGATGTAACATGAAGTTTTGTAACATAACATAACACTTTTGAATTAGTAAATGTTTTATATTGACTAAAGTAGAATCTAATGCAAAACGATTTATATTAATTATATGTTTAATTGATTTTTTGGTTTTACGACCAAACGATTGATGCAATAAAAAATCCAATGTCATATTCAGACTCAGCATACTCAAATTAATTAAGAAACATCAAAAAATTTTGATAAACAGGAATTTTTTTTTTTTTTTTGTTACATTGTGATATATATAAAAAAAAAGATTTATTAGCAAATGAGACTTTGAAAAATTTATAGAATTTAAACTCGTACTAAAAAGATACATTTACCACTGATACTTAAATGCTGCTGTCACTAACGATTACAAAAAGATATCTTCTCATACGTCATTTACAATTATTTTTAACAGATATAACCTTGCCATTGTCTCAAGATCTCAATGCCATTAAAGACTAAAATATAAAAAAGATAACAAGAAAAAAAACATCTTTAAAATGCTATTAATAAAGATTTTAAAAAGTATATTTTGTAAGATTTTCATTGGAAAAAATTGTTAGCCTAACTTAAGATCACATAAAAAAGGTATAATAAAAAATCATTTAATTGATTACTTGCAACTATTTTGAATAGATATAACTATACCGTTGCTACTAGATGTTGATAGTAAATACAAAATTAAAAAGAAAACAAGCAAACAAACCCTTCAAAATTTATTAGAATATATGCTTGTAATGAAAAGGTATGTATATACCACGGCTACCAGATGTCAATGCTACCACAGGCACAGTTATCCATAAAGGGTCCTAACCTCTTCGGAAATGATCCGAAAAATCCCTAGCCTGCAGGCATCTGTATTAATAACAGCATTTTTATTACTTCTTTCTTTACCTGTTACCAATGATAATAATATTAATACCAATGGTACCATTTCATATTTTACTTCCACAAGCTCATGTAGAAATACCGATAGCAGGTTCAATTTTATTAGCAGGAATACTTTTAAAATTAGGGGGTTATGGATTAATTAGATTTTGTCATCCAATTTTTCATTAGCTTCCCAATTTTTTCGTTAGCTTCCCAATTTTATTATCCATTAATTATTATAATAAGTATTATAGCCATAGTTTATCGTGCTTTAACTACATTTCGTCAAATAGATTTAAAACGTTTAATTGCTTATTCTTCAGTATCCCATATGGGTTTAAAGACTATAGGTATTTTTTCACATTCTATTGAAGGATTAATCGGATCATTATTAATGATGATTGCTTATGGTTTATCTAGTTCAGGTTTATTTATTATAACTTCAATTGTATATTTTATTTTATATTTTTATTCTAGAATTATCTTAGAGGTTTAACTATTACTATGCCTATTTTAAGCATAGTTACATTTATTTTAATTTTAGCTAATATTTCATTTCCTTTAACATTAAATTTTATAGCTGAATTATTTTTGACAATTTCAGCTTTTAAATTTTCTTTATTTATAATCTTATTAGTTTTGCTAGGAGTTTTTATAAATTTATTTATTCTTTATGAGCTTACAATAGAATGTTTTTTGGTTCTAATTCATCTCATTTAAAATTTTCAAGAGAATAAACTTTGAATTTCAAAGTTTACTACCATTAATAATATTTATTGTTATATGTGACCTCGCGGTAGAAAAGGGACCATATGGCGGGATCTAGTTTCTGTAATTATAATTTTTTTAGTTACGCAAATTTTAATAGGAGGTTATGGAAATTGATTTGTATCTATACATAGGATCACCGGAAATGGCTTTTCCTAGATTAAATAATTTAAGTTTTTGATTACTTCCTCCAGTATTAATTTTACTTTTAACTTCATCTTTAGTAGAACAAGGAGCAAGAACAGGTTGAACTGTTTATCTCCCATTATCTCCCATTATCTAGGCCTCTCGCTCATTCAGGAGATTTGGCTATTTTTAGTCTTCACTGTATTGAGTTTTCTTCAATTGCAAAAGCAATTAATTTTATTACAACTATTTTTAACATAAGAACACCAGGTTTAACATTTGATAAACTTCCCTTATTTTCATGATCTGTATTAATAAAAGCATTTTTATTACTTCTTTTTTTACCTGTTCTAGCAGGAACAATAACTTATTAACTGATAGAAATTTTAATACTACTTTTTTTGATCCAGCTGGAGATCATGGAGATCATGGAGATGGAGGAGGAGATCCTGTTTTATATCAGCATTTAATTTAATTTTTTGGTCATCCTGAAGTATATATTTTAATAATTCCAAGATTTGGAATTATTAAAATATATATTATTTCACAAACTGAAGTATATATTTTTAGGTTTTATTGTTTGAGCTCATCACATGTTTACTGTATGAATGGATGTTATTAACTGATTGGTTTACTGTATGAATGGATGTTATTAACTGATTCATTTACTGTATGAATGGATGTTATTAACTGTATGAATGGATGTTATTTACTGTATGAATGGATGTTGATACTAGAGCTTACTTTCCAGCATCTACTATGATTCCGTTCCAACAGGGATTAAAATTTTTAGTTGATTAGCAACAATGTATGGAGGAAAAATTAATTTATCTACACCTATGCTATGAGCTACTGGTTTTATATTTTTATTTACTTTAGGTGGTTTAACTGGTGTAGTTTTAGCCAATGGTTCATTAGATATTTTATTGCATGATACATATTATGTAGTAGCTCACTTTAACTATGTTTTATCGTTAGGTGCAGTATTTGCTATGTTAGGAGGATTTTATTTTTTGTTAGGAAAGATTTCTGGATTTGCTATTAATGAAACCTTCGCTAAAATTCACTTTTAAATTACTTTTATAGGAGTAAATTTAACTTTATTTCCTCAACATTTCGTAGGATTAGCAGGAATGCCCAGAAGATATGCAGATTTTCCAGATAGCTTATTTACCTGGAATGCTATTAGCTCACTAGATTCAATTATCTCTATAATAGTAGTAGTATGATTTATTTATGTAATTTTTGATGCTTTTTATTCAGAAGAAAGATTTATTTCTTGAAATAATTTAAATGTAGAAAAAACAAATACTTTAGAATGATCATTGAATTATCCTCCTAATCATCATACTTTTAATGAATTACCTTTTATAAGCCATTCAACTCATTAAACAAGGAAATAGAAACTCATTAAACAGGGAAATAGAAAAAACTCTTCTCCTCTAAAAGAGGATCACCCCCCCCCCCCCATCTTGAAAAATAAATAAATACAATCATTATTACAATACATTATTATAGTATTGAGGGGTGGTTCTATAGGTAATAGTAATCACCTCATAATAAGACTGTTATAATTTATATTTGTAAAATTTAAGGGAAAATAAAACTGTTTGCACAGTTTTATTTTCCCTTAAAATTTACAAATAACAAAAACTAATGTCCCTTAGATTCAAAATTATATTTTAATAAAGAACATTTGTATATACATTCCAACACAACAACAGTATATTAATATACAATATTGTATATCAAATTTCTTTTGAGTTTTAGTAGGATAAAAAATCAAAAAAAAATTGATATTAAAATTTTATTCTTAAGCATGGCATTATTTAAAATGCAACTATTTTCAAAAAGATGTGCATATGTTTCTAATTATATATACACTGAATGACAAAGTAGCTTAAACCAATACAAATTTGAGAAATTTACTCAAATTTGAAAGTTTGAGTAGATTTCTTTTGATATCGAGACTGTAGATTTTCTGACAAAAAAAATTTGATATCGAGACTGTAGATTTTCTGACAAAAAAAGTTTGATATCGAGACTGTAGATTTGATATCGAGACTGTAGATTTGATATCGAGACTGTAGATTTGATATCGAGACTGTAGATTTTCTGACAAAAAAAATTTGATATCGAGACTGTAGATTTTCTGACAAAATTACACAAACAAAAATATACTCTGACTGAGATTTTTCTCCTGAGAATTTTTAATCAACAACTGTTTCAAATGTATTTGCTGTTAAGATCAATGATACAACTCAGAAGTTTGACCCATATTCAGGATAAAAAGGTAACCTTTTAAACCTTTGCCAGAGGATTTTGAATTTGGCATGCATCAATTCAGTGGTTTGCTCACTGAAAACTTTGAGCCCAGTTTTATTTTTTTCAGCAAATTCCTTAATGTGATGAAAACTTGCATGTGCTTTGGCAGTAACTGAAATTCCAAAAGCTAGGTAAGAACGCTTAAGTTCTGAAATATTTTGACAGAATCCCACCTCCAATATCTTTCCAAAACAAGCTTTTTAACAGATTGAATATTTTTGAAGCAATCAACAAAAGGCATTGTTTGCAATGCGCAATGCTTTTGGGCAAAGCTCTGTAGAATGTCAATATTCTTCAACACTTTGTTGCATTCATTTCCATTGAACTGTTCCCCATGATATGCTTGCATTTGAAGGTGTAAGAGATTTGGCCATTCTTATGCTTGATCCCATATTTCAAGGAGTTACTAAAAAATATGGTTGAAGATTGCAAGAAAAAGTTCTCCAATTCCATTGGAGAAGTTACATCAAGAATAAGCTCAGATTGCCTGTAGGGGTTAATTAACGGAAGATGGACAAGATTTGAATGATTCTTAGCCGATTAAAGTTTTGCGCATGAAGAGAGAAATCCAGCACAGCTGTTACATAAAGAGCTAAATGTTCTTAATTGGCTAGAGTTTGTAAGGTTATCAGACTCAACATCACACCAGCAACATGAGTGCAATGTTGGCTACTTTTATGTCACAAAAAATTATGTAAGACACATCTTTAATTTGTATGACGCATAATATTCTCCTTAGACTTTCATATTTTTCAAGAATACCTTCTGCTGCAGCAACATTCAGCTGTTTTTTTTACACCAACATCCTGGGCAGAAGAACTTGATTAAAAAAATGATAATTCTTTAGCATAACTTTGCTTGGAATATGCGTCAATTATGCTGAGGATAATATTCAAGAATAAACCACCTCCATCAATTCCAAGTTTAGCTAAATAATGTGATGTAAGTCCTCTTACTAAGAGAGTATGGTTGATTAAGGCATTCAAGTTTTTGC